CTACTTGGGAGGCTGAGGCAAGAGAATCATTTGAACCCAAAACTTTGAGGTTGCTGTGAGCTGTGATGCCACAGCACTCTACCAAGGGTGACAAAGTGAAACTGTCTCAAAAAAAAAAAAAATAGGTGATTATCAAAACTCACTGTCTTAAATTACTTAATAATCACAAGCCACACTTGTGCACACTACAATGCTCCTATGTTCTCGCAAAACATTCAGGTCTTTTTGAAAGACCATCTGTGGGAGTTAGCACAGTGGCTCCTATCTGTAATCCCAGTACTTCGGGAGACCAAGGCTGGAGGATCAGTTGAGGCCAAGAGTTTTAAATCAGCTTGGGCATCATAGTGAGAACCCTGTTTCTTAATAAACTAACCAGAAGAATTAGACAGGCTTGTGTACACCTGTAGACCTAACCATTTGGGAGGCTATGCTCATGCTGCTACAAATCCAGCCTACAGCCTAAGAGTAAGACCCTGTCTCTTTAAAAACAAAACAAACAAGCAAAAAAAGCCTGTGTTCTAAAATTAAGTTTACAGTAAGAATACAAGGTGTCACAGTCTTACCTGAGAGCGTGCTTGAAAACACACATTCTCAATTTGTACCTACCTAATGCCTTTAGCCAGGGCCCCCATGTCCCAGCTATGCTAGCCCTGTGCTAGGAAGGATTCTGTGACCTCAGAGAAGGACCAAACCTGGGGCTGATCCAATGAGCCTTGAGAACTGGCTTCCAGTACCCTGGCTGCCTCCTCAGCCCTTTGGAGACTGATACCACCTGGCTGGATATCTGGTGGCAGGGCCTATGTCTTGGTGCCAGTAACTTGGCTCCTGCAAAGAGCTAACAGGAGTCCCATGGGAAGAAGCATCTCTGGGCTCTCAGAAGCTCTAGCCAGAAGACCCACCACTGATTAATCCAGCCCATGAGAGAGCAGGGAATCTGCTCTAGGGACAGTGACGGCTTGCAAGCATTTGGTCTTGGACTTAACTCCTGAGAACAGAGAAGATACAGAGGCTGTCTGGGTAAGAGGCCAGCCCCATGCCCTCCTAGCCACCCACCAGGTAGAAGCAGCTCCTGATGTGTTCCTTGACCTCACTGAAGGGTCTATTTAACTGCCCAACCAGAAAGTAGGTTAGACAACACAGGCTTTGTTATGCCTTCCTTTCTTTCACTCAATTATGTCTTTAGAGCCAGCTCCCTTCTTGGGAACACTGAGGCTACCCTAGCTGCCAGGAAGGCTGACAGTGTCACTGTCCCTTGAAGGAGCACTGTGGGGACCAGAAGGGAGGCATTGAATCCGATAAACACCTCCCTTTTTTTAGTCCATGTGCAACTGCCAGTGTTTGATGCATCTTTCCTCTTTCCCTGCTCCAGGCCCACAGGTGTGATGCAATTTGAATAAGGCGTAGATCTAGGGTTTCTCATGTACCCAACATGCGAAAGTATGGTACTAGGATTTTAGGCAAATGTCTACCACAGCTCTCCTAAACCTCAGCATTGCCAGAAAAAGAGCAATGGCCAAGGTTGAAGACCCTAATGGGAACAGCAAACCTGTGGAACAGACCCATCCCATCAGCTGAGGAGGCCTGTGTTTTGTCACATTATTATCCTGCCATCTCCCATCCTCCCTCAGTAAAATTACAAAAAAAAAAACCCACCAGAATTCTTGAGTTTTCATGTCTGAGGTGCTACATAGTAATAATCTGTGCTTAGATAAAAGCTGTCACATCTTATGGGCTTTACTGTCAATGTAAGGCAGAAACACCCCTGCCCAAGTTTAACCCCTAAAAATTCCTAAAATTGCCAATAAAATATAAAAGCTATTTGCCTTCTTTATCAATGGTGAAAAAGCCTTTAGAACATTCTCAATCTTTCCATGGGGGGGGGGTGCAAACATGCACTGCTGGTTAGTATGAGGGGTGACTGGTGATGCCACAGGGATAGGGCTGGTGACCAGCTTCCTTGCTACTGCAGACCTTAAAGACAAGGGGGCAAGCCTGTTCCCACACAGTGTCCCCATGCGCTCCAGGTCCCCGCCACTCTAGGCCCTGTCCCTGGGGGTGGGTGTTGCATTCACCACACCGTGCACGACGCTGACCCCAGCAAGTCCAAAGCCAAATGGATCAGATGAATGGCAGCCACAGATCGGAGCTTCACACAGACCAACGTGGGAGAGAGAAACCGAGAGAGGAATGAGCCACTGAGGAGGGGCAGGAAGCCACTGGGTACGTACCTCCTAACGCAGGACAAGCAGGGACAGCCCGTCACAGAACAGAAAGGTGGGAGCCACAGGCAGAAGGAAAACAACAAGAAGGCACATTTAAACCACGCGTCAGAAATCACAGCCACGCCAAACCATGAGAAAGGCACACAGGCTCTTTTGGAGATAAAGGCACTTGCTTCTTATACAGAAAACTGCCCTGGATTTATCTGGACACTAACTTAGCAGTTTTCTGGGACGGGTGGTACAGCCTGGGCATTATTCTCTGCCATGGACACCGCGAGGGTGGCCTCGCTCTACAATTTAGAGAAGCTGTCAGCAATTGTGGGACATGAAGCTACCAAGAGTGGACTCTGGCTTAACTGCATTTTCTTTTTAATGTCTCTGCCTGCAGTTAGGGGCATCCATTATGATGAACTTGGGAAGAACCCTCAGGGGCTGCTGCTGTGGGCTCACCCAGCTTTAGGAGCCAGCCCTCCCGGTCAGGGTTGAAGAAGGTGTGTGTTAAGTCGTTCCCATCATCCTCTGGGATTTTAAATGGTTCATTCTTAATACTTTCATACAAATTCTGCAAATAGAAAAAAACCCAGCAAAGTTAGCAATTCAAACAGAGGAGAAGGGCCTATCCTTTCTCCCTCTCAAGTGCAGCACAGGCATAAAACCAGCAGGAATAGGGCAGTGAGGAAAATCTTGAAAAATGTATTTAAGGAAAATAAGCTGGCACTGCCAATTTTCACAGAATTTTATAATCCGGGATATTAAGGCCCACTCCCGAGACACAGCTCACAAGCAGGCTCCTGTTGGAACTCACCCTTAGTAGCTCTTCGGGGAGGTCCCCGCCCTCATTGATACCTCGGTTCATAGTTATGAACCGCTCTGCCGTGGGCTTGTCACGCACATTGTGGTTGTGCAGGCTGGTGTTGAGCATGATGATTGCAAACGACAGCACATAGCACGTGTCTGCAACAAGTTGGAGGACAGTGGAAGGCTCAGCCACACGTAGAGAGTGTGAAACCCACATGTGTTGCAGGCACACCCACTGAAGATTCCTGGCAGGAGGCACCTGGTCATGCAGGCCCATCCTCTTAAATGGCAGCTTCCTGCTGATGTGAGGTCTGGCCAGTGGTCACAAGCAGGCTGCCTATCCCAACTAGGGGAAGGCAGGTCCCTAGGAACACAAGCTAGGACTGTGCCCTTCAGGGGTCCCCTCTTCCAAAGCCAGAGGCTTTGGCCAGTGAGGGGGTGGAGCTCAAGCTCTGCACTGACCTGTGGACTGGAAGACCCCAGGGTTGCACAGGCAGTATCGAGAAGCGAAAGCCTCCATCATGCGATCAATTTTCTGAGCCTCCCCTGGAAGCCTGAAGCTCCACAAGAACTGCCTGCAGAGAAAAAGAAACCTCATGGAATGTGCATGAGAATAGACCTAGCCTCATGGTACAAAGGGCAGCTTCTTCCCAACCCAGGGTACAGCTCAGGTAGGGGCATAAACACAAAGCTGGGAAGAAGAGGATGCAGACAGTCTCCTTCTGTTCAATAGTCCAAGACACATTTAATGACAGCCCATCTTTTTTTGTGACTACAACCAACTCAGTAGTGAGGTCTGCTGTTACCACCTTAAAAAGAAATACCCAGAACCCTTATACTTCTTTATCACCACCTGCTTCTGCCAGGTGATCACCAGAGCCCTGCCACATCCTCATGCTACACAATCCTGACAGCACTCATAGGACCATGTGACCCTCCCAGGACTCCTACCCATAAGGCAAAGCCAGAGTCAGCAAGATGGCTTTCAAGGGTCTACCTTGCTGGGCAGATGCAGATGTACCCCCACCTTGGGCCTAGCCCAGCCAGCACATGTCCCCATCCTCAGATAGTTCCTGCTTTCCAAGGTTTCCTGGGGCTGCCCTGCCTAGAACTGCCATTCCACCCCTTCTCTGTCACTCACCACCACCAACTCCTCATCCATTGCCTGCGCTGCAAAGCTGGGTCCCCATGCATAGCCACAGACTCATACACCAGCTGCTCAGATTTAGTACACTGACACTACAACAGATTTAGTATAAGCACTGGTCTCACAGTAGACTTAAGGGCTCCAATTAAATTTCTGAGCTGTCCAAGGTTTTAAAAAATACCAATCCTATTAGCAATCCAATGGGGCTATTCCCTAGGGTCCTTCCTCTGTTCTCTCGTTCTGTGATTCCAGCCACATTCAGGCTTCCTTCAGCCAAGACCTATCTCCTTAGCCTGTCTGCATCAGCAGACTTCAGCTTCCACACAGCTGTCCATCCTCCGCTCTTTGGGGCCAGCTGCCCTGGGGCCATCCCGGACTTACCTTCTCTCTGCCCCATCTTCACTAGCAAAGCATGTGACCTATCCACCACCCCACCCCACAGCAGGTGAGGGGCTCTAAGTCAGCCTGCATGCCCCTCTTAGGCTTCCTGTTTCCCTTAGAGTAAAATCTAAAACTTTCATGCCATCTCCTCAGACCAGAGGACCTATCCATGTCCCCACCCTTCACCTGGGCTACTGCGGGGTTCTACCAGACTTTGACACCTATGGGACTTATTAGAAACCTCTTTGGCTCTGAGCCAGAGACTGACACGCAAAAAGGAATGGAATCATAGCTACACTGGTCATGCTGGACAAACCTCACAGACTGACCAGGCCTGTGCCTCCCCCTGGATATACAGCTTTCAAAAACTGAACCTGATAAACTTGAATTATGGTTACAGGATTCAGCTGCTAACCATCAATGCACCATTCAACCCCAGGCTGAACCGCTGAGCAAGTCAGAAGGATCACACAGAAATAATGCCAACATCTCAGTCTGCAGCTAAAATAAGGTCATGTAAACCAGAATATATGGTCTGAGACCACTAACCAGACGTGGCCATGATTTCTTAAGCCCAAGAACAGGTAGAAGTAGCTCCCACCAGAGAACCTGTTTTTTCCCTGCCCCTGCATCCCTCAAACCAGACCCTCGTTGCTGCTAGGTAATAGTTTAGGATCAAGACCAGAATGATGAAGAACCCATGAAGCCCCACGGGGACACCAAGGAAAGAGACAAGAAGAACTCTGTCTCAGAGGTACAGGAAAGGCAGCTAGAAAAGCATACCGGCACTGCATCATGGAGGCCTTAACTGAACCTTACAAGGGTATCTAAGGGCCATTCTCCTCCGTCCATCCTAGATGACACATAGGAAGGTCCCACTTTCCCTGGATAAGAAGGTACTAGAGGTGGACTCTTATGGTGAGAGGTCTATATCTTCCCTGGCCCGGGCATTCATGCTTTGGTACTTAAAGCCAAATCTGGTAGGAAGTGGGCCTGAATGGAGCAGATACCATGCTGTACAGAGCATGGGAAAAAAAGCATGCACACAATTACCAAATATCATTAAAGATGAAAGAAAGCAAATTGAACAGTACACAGAACCAGCAGTCACAATAAGGAAAGTATGATACCTATCCTTTAGCATGTGTCCTGCTTTCTATCTAGAGCTACTGAACGTCCTGCAACATTAGCAGCATCATTTAGAACCAGGAGCCAATGTCTGCAGAGATTCCTGTGACTTCTGCTGAGCTGCCCACAGTGAATTAACAACCACTACTGCTCAGGCAGCAAATCTCTGGCCTTCCGCATCTGATCTACACTCCATGTACAATCAAATGCTAACCTTAAGGCTTGTACGAGGTTGAGATCAGCAAATTCATGGAGTTCCACAAAAGCTTGAAGCACTTTAATATTAAATTCATCCCTAGAAAAGAAAAAAGTTTTAAGCCTAATGTACATTTATCTCAGTCATTTTAAAAGAAAAACATATCCTATTATGAATAGCAGCTATGAACATTCATGCACAGGCGACCATACACTTTTATTTTTCTTGAGTATATGCCTAAGAGTGGAATTGTTGGGCTATATGCTAAGTTTATATTTATTATTTTGAGGAAATGCCAAACTGATTTCCAAAGTACTCATTTATATCCCATCAGCAGTGTATAAGGGTTCAATTACCCCACATACTTGTCAACATTTATGATGATTTTTATTACATCCATCATATTGAGTATAAAGTGGTATCTTATTGTGGTTTCAATGTGCATTTTCCCAAAGATTAATAAAGTTGAGCACTTTTTCATGCGTTTTTGGACATTTGTGTATCTTCTTTGGAGAACTGTCTATGCAGAGTGTCCATTTTATAATTGAGTTATTTTTATCTTTATTCTTAGTTGTAAGAGATCTTTATATATTCTGATAAAAGTCCTTACCAGGTTCACATATGATTTGCAAATATTTTCTTCTACTCTGTAGGTTTTTTCACTTTCTTGATGGTATCCTCTGAAGCACAAAATATTTAGTTTTGATTATATCCAGTCTACCTTTTTCATTTGTCATTTGTGGTTTTCATGTTAAGATACCTTAGAAACCCTTGCCTAACTCAAGATCACAAAGATTTACCCTGTGTTGTTTTCTAAATGTCTTATAACTTACAGTTTTTAGATTTAGATCTTTACTCCATTTTAAATTTTGTACATGGTAATGCATCTAATGCTAGTCTTTTGCATGTGGATTTCCAGTTGCCCCAGCACCATTTATTGAAAACACTATTCTTTCTCCCACTGAATTGTCTTGATGCCCTTGTTGCAAATCATTTCACAGTAAATGTGAGAGTTTATTTCTGGATTTTTTTTTTTTTTTTGGGAGACAAAGTCTTTTGCTAGAGTGGCAGTTCTCAACCTGTGGGTTGTAACCCACAGGAACTGTATTAAAAGGCTGCGGCATTAGGAAGGTTTAGAACCACTGTGCTAGAGTACAGTAGCATCATCATAGCTCACTGCAACCTCAAACTCTTAGGCTCAAGTAATCCTCCTGCCCCAGTCTCCCAAGTAGCTGGGACTACAGGTGCCTACCACCAAGCCCACTTTTCTTTCTTTCTTTTTTTTGTAGAGACAAGGTCTCATCCTTGCTCAAGCTGGTCTCTGGCCTCAAGAGATCCTCTTAACTTGGCTTTCTACAGTACTAGAATTATAAGCACGAGCCAACACACTGGGGCTGGATTTGAAGTTTTATTCCATGATCTATATGTATACCCTTATGCCAGTCCCACACTATCTTGATTAGCGTAGCTTTAGTCTATTTCATAATTGGAAAGTGTGAGTTCTTGAACTTCGTTCCTTTTTAAAACTAATAGTGGCTGTTCTGGATTCCTTGAACTTCCATATTAATTTTAGGATGAGCTTGTCAACTTCTTCAAAGAAGTCTGGGATATTGATAGGGAGTACGTTAAATCTGTAGGTCAATGTTGGTAGCGCAACTATCTTAGCAATAAAGTCTTTTAATATGTGAACATGGGATGTCTTTCCATTTCTTTAGGTCTTTTAATTTTGTCAACAATGCTTTGTATTTTTCAAAATATAAGTTTTGTACTTCTCTTATTAAATTCATTCCTAAGTATTTTATTCTTTTTAATAAAGCCATTTTCTTCATATCCTTTTCAGTTTGTTCATTGCTACTCTATAATGTATAGAAATACAATTGACCTTTCTATGTTGCTCTTGTGGTCTGCAACCTTACTGAATTTGTTTATTATTTCTAATAGTTTTTTAGTGAATCCTTAGGATTTTCTCCATACATGATCACATCATCTGCAAATAGAGACAGTTTTATTTTTTTTCCTTTCTAATCTGGATGTCTTTACCTTTAATTTCTCACCTAACTGCCCTGGTGAGAAGTGCCAACACCAGGTTGAACTGCAGTAGTGAGAAAAGACAGCCTTATTTTGTTCTTGATCTTAGGGAGAGAGCATTTAGCCTGTCACCATTAACTATGATGTTATGCTGTGGGTTTTTCATAGGTATCCTCCACTGTGTTGAGGAAGTTTTCTTCTAGTCCTAGTTTTTTGAGAGTTTTTATAATGATACAATATTGGATTTTGATAAATGCCTTTCCCACATTTATTAGGGTGATTGTGTAGATTTTTCCCTTTATTTTACTGCTATCTGACTTTTGGATATTGAAGTAAACTTTGCATTCATAGGATAAATCCTGCTCAAAGCATAATCCTTTCTATAAATTGCTAGATTTGATTTGTTAATAATTTTTGTTGAGATTTTTGTTCAACAGTTATAGAGACGATGGTCTGCAGTTTTCGTGTGAGATCTTTGTCTGCTTTGGGTGTCTGGTAGTGCTGGCCTCATAGAATGAGTTGGGAAGTGTTCCACTTTCAATCAAGTATTTTCAATATAAAGTTAGAAACAGAAATCACCCTAATTTAGCAAATCTTGGAATTTTGTTTAAAAGACACTCACTGGTTCGACACCTGTAGCTCAAGTGGCTAAGGCGCCAGCCACATACACCAGAACTGGTGGGTTCGAATCCAGCCCAGGCCCACCAAAACAACAATGACAACTACGACCAAAAAATTGCTGAGGGTTGTGGCAGGCACCTGTAGTCCCAGCTATGAGGGAGGCTGAGGCAAGAGAATCACTTAAACCCAGGAGTTGGAGGTTGCTGTGAGCTGTGATACCATAGCACTCTACCCAGGGGTGACAGCTTGAGGCTCGTCTTAATAAATAAATAAATAAATAAATAAATAAATAAAAACAAATTAAAAAATTAAAAAAACCACTCCCTTCCTGGTCCCTCACAAAAAGTTTATTTTGGCACACTCAGGGATGTGCTGCTTTAGTATTCTTACTCTAACCTCTGTTGAACATAGTAAAAGAACTTTACAATGGAGAAGACTAAGAAAATAAATCTGACCTGTTGTTTTTCATTTTAAAAAATTAATAACTTTCTGCCGGGCATTGTGGTAGGCACATGTAGTGCCAGCTCCTTGGGAGACTGAGGCAAGAGAACTGCATAAGCCCAAGAGTTTGAGGTTGTTGTGAGCTGTGACACCACAGCACTCTACCAAGGGCAACAAAGTGAGACTCTGTCTCAAAAAAAAAAAAAAAATTAATAACTTTCTACCTTTACTCTATAGGGGAAAGAAAACTACTGAGAAATTTGGTGTATTTCTGGGTAAAAAAGAAGGTAATTAAGTTGCTTTCCAAAAGCAAGAGAAAGAAGAATTGTGGGTTCTTTCATGGTTGCCTGAATAAAGGATTCCAGAGGCACACAGATTCCACTTGACCTCAGAATATCCTAACACAGATCTAGGACAGAAAATTGCACTGGGGGGAACATGTACGTGCCAATAGCCCATGGCTGTGTCATTCGTGAAGGCTGTGAGAGCCCCTGAAGTGAAAGGTGAGCCCATGCCAGTCTATAGGAATGGGTGAGCCCAGATGGAGCGGTACCATCTTCCTTCAACTTACCTTTCCCCTAGATAGTCCCCAATGACAGTCTTATTTAGGCCTTCTCCTTTATAAAGGAACTGGGCGACATCTTCTGGGGAACTCTGTAGCAGGTCATTTTCTATTAGAAACTGAATTCCCTGAAGGAGAACATTGGAAAGGAAGCACTGGTTAGGAAGGTCATTCAAACTCATATTTCAAAGATATATTCTCAGTGTAATAACCTTACTGGTTTAGACACAGCAAAAATTCAAGAGGAACCAAAACAACTGCAAAATCTGATTTTCACAATGTCACGCTACATTTTATCTCCTGGAAAGTTAATAGATTTTAAAAAATGGGTTACTGAACAAATCGTTATATATGCTTATTAGAAATAAAAGGCAGAACTAACAGCATTTAGATTTCCCAAGCTTAGGAAATCAATATGTCTTGTGTCTGAGAGGAACATATTGTAAGTTACAGATGTTGCTGGCCAACCCAAAAGCCATCTCAATCTCCTTTTCCCCTGTCATCCTTCACTAGATCATCAATTCCCAGTCACCCTGGTTCCAAGAGTGGCTGGGAATTGACCTCGTGACAAAGAGCTGGCCAGACAGCTGGCCTTTAGGGAGGACCCAGGAAAGCTTTTGGTTTCCTGGCAAAAGGGGATTCATAAGGAGGCACTGCTCCTTTTCCTCCTTCCTGGCTTGAACAAAGATGTGATAACTGGAGCCATAGTGGCCATCTTACAAGAGAAAGGTTGAAATGAGCATACAGACCTCATTGCTGCATTTGGGAGCCACCTACTACTATGACAGTAGGAGAAGATGAACTTCCATTGTGTGAGCTATTTTTTGTTGGATTTTTTATTATCTAAGGCTGAAAATATGTTAACTGACATCTGTGCCACCAAGCTTACACAAGTCAAAACTCATGCTTTCCACTTTAAGGGCCTATAGCACAGCTGACAATCTGAAAAACCAAAGGGCTGCCTCTGTCCTGAATCAGCTACAGCCTGTCTCCTATGAAGTCCCAGGGACCTGAAATACATAGTAATATTAAAAATATACCTGTGACATAGCTTTGGAGCTAATTTCAAAATACATATGGACAAGGTTAGTAAGATAATAAGGAATTTAGACATTTATTTGCCAGGAGGCTATTTCTACAAATTCAGAGAGGCTCTTCCAGCGAGAATTTTTAATATCTCATACCAGGGCTGCCTCATACCTCTGTGGTGCATATGCAGATTTTCTATTTTTTTTTAAATACATGAAAGTCCACAGCAGCCTTATTTAGAATTTGTAAAAACTGTAAACAGCCCACAGTTAATCAATAAGAAAACAAATAAATCCCTTCCAGTATATTCAAATGATGGAAGACTATATGCAATAAAATAGAACACATACTCAGTAACTGTGGTCCCTGAATCCCAGGTGGTCCATGGCCTGTTAATAACCAGGCTGCACAGCATTACCACCTGAACACCACCTCCCATCCTATCTGTCCCCCAGCCCCAATCTGTGGAAAATTGTCTTCTATGAAACCAGTCCCCGATGCCAAAAAGGTTCCAGTTCCAGTCCATGGCCTGTTAGGAACTGGGCTGCAAAGCACCAGGCAAACAAGTGAAGCTTCCTGTTATTACCAGCCATTCCCCATCGTTTACATCGAAGCCTGAGCTCTGTACCTCTTGTCTCATCTCTCCTCTCACTCTGCCACCACCTTGCCTCCTGTGGAAAATTGTCTTCTATGAAACTGGTCCCTAGTACCAAAAGGTTGGGGATCACTGCTCAACAGGATGAATCAATCTCATAAACATGATATGGACTAAAAGATGACACAGACTAGTATATTTTAATTCATAAAATGTTTTTAAAAGGCAAAACTAATTTATGGTAATAGAGTATTGGTTACCAGGGCAAATGGCACACTAGGAGAGAAGCTTCCCCATAATGTTCGTTCTACAACTATGTCTTATTTTGGATTGCAGTTATATGAATGTATTAATTTGTAAAGATTATTTCAGCTGTGTACAAAATTTGTGCATGTTACTCTTCAAAAAATTAATAAGTCTGAGAATCCTAAGTTAATTATCATATATTTCTTTTCCTTTCTTTTTTTTTGAGATACAGTCTCATTATGTTGCCCTCGGTAGAGTGCTACGATGTCACAGTTCATAGCAACCTCAAACTCTTGGGCCTAAGCGATTCTCATGCCTCAGCCTCCCAAGTATCTGGGCCTACAGGTGCCCGCCACAATGCCCACCTATTTTTTGGTTGTAGTTGTCATTGTTGTGTGGCAGGCCCGGGCTGGGTTCAAACCCACCAGCTCCGGTGTATGTGGCTGGCATCCTAGCTGCTGAGCTACAGGCACTGAGCTATCATATATTTCTTGTGAGAGTTTAAATGGGTACCATTTAAATCACGCACACGCTGTAACAACAAAGTTCCAATCCCAAAATATGTCTGTCATAGTCCAGGTTTCCTAAAAACAAAGCCTGGGACAAGAATGACAGCACTGCTAATTTTTATTTGCTTTATATGCAAAAACAAGTGAAACAAGTGAAGAAACTAGTGGCTGGAAGTGAGGAGGGATTAGTAGTGCTGCCCTCAGGGGTCACTAGTGGTCCCTCAATCTCTGCAGTCATAAGGCTGGGGACCTAAGCATGCACAGCTAAGGCCCCGACCCCTGTCAGTAGAAGCCCCCAGAACTGATGAGGCTTTCATGAGCTCCTCTGAATGCTCATGACCTGCACAAAAGTTCAACATTAAAAAAACAAACAAACAAAAAAAAAAAACCAGGATGTTTCTCATGAAGTGCTATTAAAGAATCTACAGGGATTTGGCTTGACACTCGTAGCACAGTGGTTATGGTGCCAGCCACATACACCGAGGGTGGCAGGTTCGAACCTGGCCCAGGCCAACTAAACAACAATGACAACTGCAACCAAAAAAATAGCTGTGCATTGGGACAGGTGCCTGTAGTCCCAGCTACTTGGGAGGCTGAGGCAAGAGAATTGCTTAAGCCCAGGAGTTGGAGGTTGCTGTGAGCTGTGATGCCTAGCAAGGACCAAGGTGACATAGTGAGACACTGTCTCAAAAAAAGAATCTACAGCAGTGGTTCTCAACCTTCCTAATGTCTCCTAATGCTGCAACCCTTTAATACAGTTCCTCATGTTGTGGTGACCCCCAACCAGAAATTTACTTTTGTTGCTACTTCATAACTATAATTTTGCTACTAGTATGAATCATAACGTAAATATCTTATATGCAGGATGTATTTTCATTCTTACAAAGGGGTCGTGACCCACAGGTTGAGAACCACTGATCTACAGGAATTTGAGAAAAGCAAATGGGCTCTGGACAAAGTGATTTCTTCTGTGCTTATGGATCCCCATAACAAAGGCAGAGGCAGCCCTAGCAAAGCTCCAGTTTCTTTCGCAAGAGACTTAGACTTAGGCCCTGACAGTGGAAAACAGAGTCACTAGCTGAGTTTAGGCCAGAAACCACAAGAGAAAATGGAGTCGAAAGCCAGAGGGAAAGAGACCAGTTATGATTAAGAAAGGAATTGCATCTGGGAGGAGAGATGGAGACAAGCTGAGGGGGAGGAGGACACGGAGCTGGCCTGCTCTGAGTCCAGTAGCATTTGTCCTCAACAGAGACATAGAGGGAAAGGCTGTATGATGTTGGAGTAAGACAGGAGCAATGCAACCACAGACAGAAGTGCCAGAATTGGCAGCAGCCACAAGACAGGAGTAGGTAAGAAAAGCATTCTCCCCTCAAAAGAAAGTCAATGTTCCAGTATTATTAAGAAATGTTAAGATTTTTAAAATATTATTTCAAAAGTCATATATTAGAAATGGGGAGGCACATTTGACCCCCTGCATCTAGTATATCTTTTTCTATTCATTTCTAGCCTTCCTGGTATTTGTTCTAAGTACACCTTTTAATCAGAAGACAGTTGAATTTTGCTGATTTTTTTTTAAAACTTAATATCAGGCCTATCTTTTAAGAGATTAATCTGGCCCAATCAAATTTGTGGTGATCATTAATTTCTTAGGACTTTTCCTGACCTCTTATTTTGTATTTTCTATTTCACATGCCTTTTCAGTCTCTTGCTAAATTGATCACACTTGAATTCAATTTTTTGAGAAATTTTTTCTTTTAAGACAGTGTCAGTTTGTCACCCTGGGCAGAGTGCCGTGGTGTAATAGCTCACAGCAACCTCAAACTCTTGGCCTCAAGTGATTCTCTTGCCTCCTGAGTACCTGGCACTACAGGTGCCCACCACAGCACCCAGCTATTTTTAGAGGTGAGGTCTCACTTTTGCTCAGACTGGTCTTGAACTCCTGAGCTCAGGCAATCCACCCGCCTCGGCCTCTCAGAGTACTAGGATTACAGGGATGCGCTACCGTGCTCGGCTAAGAAAATTTTTGTAATTCATTTATTTTTCCATTTGTAGAAGAGCTCCTCACCCAGGGAGTGTGTTATACACCCTCACAATGTACATATTAGGTGAGATCCTGCCCCAGGCCCTCCCTCCTTCTTCCAAGTCCTCCCCCTCCTCCCTTGAGATTCCCTCAACCCCTGCATGGACTGTATTAGTGTTTTATTGTTCTTATGAACATGTAATTGTTTATACACTGATTTCATATTAGTATGGAGTACATTGCATATTTATTTTTCCATTCTTGTGACACTTTACTATGAAGGCTGTATTTCAACTCTATCCAGGTAAATGTAAAAGATGTAAAGTCTCCATCTTTTTAATGGCTGGATAATATTCCATAGTATACAGACACCACATACATATATCATATTCCATTTGCCAGCTGATGGGCATTTAGATTGCTTCCACAATTTGAATTATGAATTGAGCCATAATAAACATTCTAGTGCAAATGTCTTTGTGGTAAAATGATCTTTGTTCTTCTGGGTAGATAATCTAGTAATGGGATTACAGGGTCAAACAGAAGTTCTACTTTTAGATCTTTGAGGATTCTCCATACTTCTCTCCAAAAAGGCTGTATTAGATTGCAATCCCACCAGCAGTGTAGAAGTGTTCCCTTCTCTCCACATCCATGCCAGCATCTGGTGTTTTGGGACTCTGTGATGTGGGCTAATCTTGCTGGGGTTAGGTGCTATCTTAGAGAGGTTTT